GAGGGAGGGAGGGAGGGAGGGAGGGAGGGAGGGGACTCTAGTCACAGAAGCTCCCAGAGCTGACCTCTGCTCTTCTCCGTCACTGTATAAACTACTCAGGGACAGGCTAGGCACCTATTTAACTATAAATGTAACTTCCAGTCCTAAGAAAGGCTGTCACATCACGGTGACACGTTCTATCCAAGAATGGTAGATGTGTGTATGGGGGGGCGGTGTATTGATTGGGGTTGGCTCCTTAGCAAGTGAGGATTTTCCTTTTTTGTTGTTGTTGGTTTCACTGCGTAGCCCTGGCTGTCCTGGAACTCACTATGTAGACCAGGCTGGCCTCAAACTCAGAGATCCACCTGCCTCTGCCTCTCAAGTGCTGGGATTAAAGGCATGTGCCGCCACTGCCCGAGTGAGGACTTTATTCTCCTCCAGCCAGCTGCCCTCTGCCCTCAGTGATGCTGATGTGTGTGGGAGTTTGAGCAGTGCAAGGACATGTTCATGGTCCACTAGTGGGCCGTTGTTCTCCCAGTGGCCAGGCTAGAACTGCTACAGGCCGACTCAGCAGCCCTGGATGACTCTTAGGGCCACCTGCAGGCCCAGAGCGGTGGCTCGTACCAGTAATCTCAGGCCAGCTAGTACTACAAGGTAAGACCCTGCCTCAAAAAGGGTGTGCGCCACATGCCTGGTACTCACTGGCTTGCCTATTTTTGGAGGCCACGGTTCCCAAGCTGGCTTCGAACACTTCACCCTGTCTTCTCAGGGATGGTGTGAACAAACCTCCATTCCCTAAGGGTGTTTAGGAGTGCTTTGGGGAAACAGTTGTCCACACTGAAGTTATTTGCAGCCACCGAGTATGGGCAGAGTGGCCCTGTCACACCATGTCAGCACACTCCCCAGGGATCATCTGGGAGAGCCGCAGAAGCCTCGTCCCACAGTGGATGCAGGTGCCTTCCAGGGAAGCTGCTACCTGCAGTACCCAGCGGCTAACATTAGGACCAAACTTCTAAACAAGTCAAGGTCGAAGCTGGAATCCTAGCCCTCAGGAGGTGGAGACAAGAGGACCAGTTCAAGGCTGGTCTGGGCTAATCATCATTCTCCATAGCGACAGTGTGTTGGAGAGGTGACTGTTGCTAGCAAAAGATTAATTTTGGAAAGCCATTTCCAGAATGTTCTTTGAGGACTTGGTTGTTCCCTCAGAGAAGGAATTTGTGGATCAAAGCCTGGCATCTCCTTGGCGCCTCAGAACCTTCCTTGGCTGGGGAGCTCTCTGAGCCTCAGGGTTAGACATCTTCACAAAGCAGGCAACATGGCTACGAACCAGGAGGTAGGCTGTGGTTCCTACCCTGGTACTGGGGTTGCAGAGAAGTTCTTGATTCACAGGATCAGGACAGCTACACGCCCTTGGGTTGGGTTTCTCCAGTATTCTGGAAATACCAGCTGGCCCAGGCACCCCAGCATCCAGCTTGCCCTGGCCACACCCAGGCCTCAGGCGCTTTGTTGGTGAGGGAAGTGGCGCCACCTAGTGGAAGAAGGCAGAACTGGAATAGCATCCCTAACCTGCAGCTATGGAGGAAGTCTTACCAGCCTGAGGATGGGGTGGGGAGCATCCCTCACCTCCCCCCACTACCTCCAATGTCAGCACCTCGTGCTTGCTTACAGTAAAATTCTAGGCTTGTGAGAGCCTCAGGGCAGCTCAAGTCACACTCTTAACTGCTGCTGCTGGCGGTAGGCTGGCTCGCTGCTGTGCCTGGTGACCTGGACCTGGGCTCTATCCCTGCGCCCCCATGTGGTGGAGAGCAAGAACTGACTCTGGAAGGTTATCTCCTGACCTTAGGTACACACTAGCATCCCTACTCCACCACCCCAAAAATAAGTGAATTAAAAGACAAATTGCTGTTATCAAAGGCAAGCCCTATGGGTCCTGGGAAAGCAGGCGGTGGCCGGACAGTGAATATGGCAGCTGAGCATTGTGGGGCATAGCTGGAACCCCAGCACTCAGGAGTTCCAGGCCAGCCTGAGCTACATAGCCAAGCCCTGTTTCAGCAAACAATTAAAAAGGCAGGCTGAGCTTGAAGGGGGCTGACATCTTCAGGCTCTGCCCTCACTCAGGATGAATCCCCACCTCACGAGTCCCTGTAGCACTTTCCTCTGGTAGCCAGCCAGCACCCAGCAGCCCCTCTGTGTCTCGAGTTGCATCAAGCAGGCCCTGACTGAAACATTTCCGGCTCTGTCTAGTAGGTTTTCAGTGACATCAACTGAGGACATCTCAGGGCTACAAGAAGATAATATAAACAAAGGCTCACACATGCCTCTGTCCTCAGAACTGGGCAGGCAGGAGGCTATCTCCAGTCCTGCAGTGCCCTGCTGGACACAATGCCCCCCAAAGGGACAGCACCCAAGAGTCTGTGCAGCCTGTAACGGTCCAGGGGAGCCCTGCTGGGTCCCGCAGAACCTCCACCCTCAGCTCTCCACACGTGAGGAGCACAGTGGTCCTAGCACACTCACTCAGGTTGGCTGCTCTTTCTCAGGTTCCCTGCAGATATCCATGAGTCCGTTCTCACTCCCCCTGCTCCATCAAGCCAGCTCGTGGAGACAGGCAGCCTGATGCCAACAATCTACTTATTTCTGCTTCAGAATTAGGCAGTACAAGATTCAGGGTAGTTAGTGTTCACCCTGGATCTAAAACAGAGAGCGGTGGAAAGTACAGACAATTAGGACCTGCATGTGTCCCCAGGTGCCAGCTACCTGCTCGGCAGTGATGGTTACCTGCTCCCACAGAGAGGCACTGTCCTTCCGGGGCTCTTCCTCAAAGAATTAGCCCTAGGGACAGAAGTTGGCCCCACCTCACCAGCCTCTGAGAACTTCCTGTATTGCTCAGCTAGGGTACATTGTCTGCCAGATCTAGCTAGGTTCACTGGAGCCCAAGAGCTAGGTGTTTATTTCAAGGGAAACGACCAAAGTGTTTTGAGGCAAATCAGGGTCTATTTCTAGCTCATTTTCCCGCAGTACAAGAAGTGAATGTTGCCAAGCCCCTGAAATAACTCCAGACAGAACTTCTCCACCGTAGGAAGCCACCCACAAGTGCATTGTGGGTTCAAACACACAGTGTGTAACTCTCGGAAGTGAGCACATCTAAAACATTTCTAGAAACACTCCACACACATAGTAACTTGTAAACAGGATTGATGAGGCAGGATACGGGAGCTCATGTAGTCCAGGCAACTCAAGATGTGGCCTCCTGCCTCTACCTGCTACAGACAGCTTCCATTACAAGCAGGTTCCGCCATGCCTGGAGGTAAGTGGTGGGAACAGAATCCAGGGTTTCATGCATATTAGATAAAACACTCTTCCAACTGTGAGGTACATTCCCAGTCCTACAAGTGTTTTTTGTTTGGTGGATTTTTTGCTTTGAGATGGAGTTCTGTAGCCCAGGCTAGTCTGTAATTCATTATGTAGCTGAGGACAACCCTGAACTCCTGATCCTCCTGCCTCTGCCTTCCAAATGCGAGCTGTACATCACTACTCCTGGCTTTGGGAAGGTCTTAACCCTTGTTTCTACTCAGTGCACTCCTGAGCCATTCTGGGATGATGGGATGTCAGTGACCAGTCTGCTCTCCTACACAGGACATTAAATCTGGGCCCCCTAACACGCCTCTAACCACTGAGCTACACCCAAGTCCCTATCTCAACGCTTTTAAAGTAATACATACTCTTCAATTCTCCCTCAGAAAGAAAAATAAATGGGACCAGAGCTGTAGGGCTGATGCCCCATGCCACACCGTCGGTCCAGAGGCTCTATGGGTCTGCAGCTACTTTGCAGGCTACTGCTGAGGCAGGAGGGATGACCACACATGGGATGTGCTGGCCACTAAACACATCCCTGCTGGGGCCCTTAGGGTTTGGTGGGTTCCAGGAAAGGAAAGACACAGCTGGTATTTCAAGTGTTCCAGCCTCCTCCCCAAGGCTTCCACAGGGCTTCTGGCTTGTGTTCACCACCACTGGAGGCAGACACCACAGTACAAGCTAGGGGCAGGGGAGGAATGCATGTTTATTGTGACATTCTCAACACAAACCAGACTGCACCACAGTAGTGCAAGGAGCCAAGGGCTCTCAGCAGAGGCGTCAAGAGATGGCAGCCAGCAGGGCAAGTCCCAGTAGCAGCTGGCCAGGGGCTGCATGCCACCTCAGCGGGAAGAAGTAGGTCTAGGGGACAGCAAATGCCTAGACCTGGGCTGCTGGCGCCCACTTCTGCAGAGCCTGGAGGTCACTGCCCTCTGGAGACCTCTTGGTCCCGGGATCCCTCACCACCCCAGACTTTGAAAATCTTGCCCTAAATGTTCTGTCCAGACTTCTCAAGGACCCCAGAAACAGGACAGCCTCTCTAGGCTCAGGGGGTCCCAGTACCTCTGCAGTGGCCTTGCAGGACCCTCTGGGCAAGTGCCTGTGTGAGTGGCCACAGATCACCTCCCCAGAGGTGGCCCTAGACACCAAGGCTGGGGGAGGTGTGGGGGTGTGGGGTGTTGGGGATCAGGGTCACTCTAGGCTACACAGGAAGCTGAGCGAGCAACCAACAGTGCACTAGCGCATGAGGTATCTGTTTCACCCCACCCCACAGGGGCTCAGGAGCCACCCCACAGGGCAGATGACACCCAATCTGCCAGCGGCTCAGCAGACAAGGTGGTAGGTCCTCTCCAAGTCTCAACTGCCCACGTTCCATTCCAACCACGAGTCCTGTTTCTATAGTCAATAACACACACGGGCGGCCTGCACCTCCAGGGGACTCCGGTAACCAACATGATGTGAGGGGCTGCTGGCCAACATGCAGAGCCCCTCACAACCATCCTGCCCCCCTGGGCATGGAAATCTACCTCTGTGAGTCGCTAAGGTGTTGGACCCAGTACACAGCAGAAAACACCCCAGAAGTGGCAGCCACTCCCAGCACCCCATCCCAGGGGCCAGCATGGGCTGAGGGGCAGCATGGGGCTCCTGGGACAAAAGCTGGGCCCAAGCTAGCAAGAGGGCAGGTTTGGGGACATGGTGATGACGTCAGAGTCCTCCAAGTCTGAGAGAATATATTTCCCAGCACAGCATCTCTCCTGGCAGACGGACCAGCCGCACTTGGCCTCTGCGCCAGCACACAGCAGCACAGCTGCAGGGCAGACACACCCTCGGGGAACGGCAAGTACCAGCCTTCAGGGACAACGACACTCAGCAGGACGCAGCCTTCAGAGGGATGCAGGGCTGTCTGGAGAGGGAGTAGGACCAGCCACAGCCACTCAGCCTGGCCCCAGTCACACAGCCCGGGTCTCAGCCTCGATCTTTTGCTCTCCATGCAAGCTCTCTGGGTCTGGGAGCTGGGCTACACTCTGCCGGATGGCGATCTCAGGGCCACCCCCATACAGGCTGTTCAGATAGGTCCAGGTCTCCTCGGAAATCTGCCCATAATCAGCCCCTGTGGAACAAGAGAAGCATACTTACAGAGGCCACATTGTATACCAGTCCTCAGAGGAAACACCTTCTGGGTAGTGAGGACCCCTGGGATGAGGATGGGACCGTGCCCCAGAAGGGAGGGAGAGTAACCCCAGACCCTCCCAAAAGCTGCTGCATGTACAAGTGCCATTCTTCTAGGGCCCCGAGGACAGGTCTCTGACTGTTGTCTCTTTCCCAGGGTTAGATGACGGAAGCGTCAACCTGGCTAGCAGGAGGCAGAAGAGGCGGGGTGTGGTGAGGGCCTGAGGACCCGCACCATGACCTCTGGGCCTGGACTTGGATAACGGGACTTTGACAGGTGACAAAGCTTCCTGGAAGGACAGGCCCTCGTGTCAGCCTGGTGGCATGAAGGTACCAAGGGCAGCCTGGCTGGGCCGGGGGGCTGGGGACTCACCCTGCTTTAGCTGGATATGGCCACTGCCTTTGACCTGAGCGATCCTGCTGTTGTCGATGGGCCCAGGAGGCTCTGCAACAGAGAGGGCTGGCTTCGGTGTTCGAGACAGGCTGCCCTTCTGCAAGGCTGACCATCCGGAGCCCACAGCGGCCATCCCGGCCTCAGACCAGAGCCAGGGCCAACAGACACTGGCGCACTGATGCCTTCTCTCTGGATTTCACGCCACCCTCTCAGTACTCCAGGGGGCGTGGGATTGTTTTAGACCAATGTTTCAGTGATGGGCATTGGTGGTAGCTGCCACCAGCTGAGTGTCCTTTCCTGGTCTCCTACCATCTCATCTAACCCTCAGCAGCGATGGGAAGTGAGGACTGTTTACACGGGACAGAGGTTCGGCCAGCTGGAGAGACCCGGCCAGCTCAGAGCTGGAGGAAGGCAAGGCCAGAAGCCAGACCGTGGACAGAACCCAGGGCTACGCTCCTGACCACAGCCACCTGACTGCTTCAGCCAGAAAGGACGGGGCTGGGAAAAGGGATCCAACACCCTCTCCAGAACTGGCTGTTCGTGCTCTGAGAAGCAGGCAAATGCCTAGCACATGGCATGCATGGGCTCTGCCAAGCTGCCAGGCCTAGCCTGGGAGCCTGAGTGGCTGGGAAGGTGGCCCAGATCCATGGGCTACTCTTTGCTGGTAACTTTCAGGATCCTGATAGCTCACTTATTACAGGGCTGTCTTCATTTCTGCAAATCGGAGTGGTCAGACAAGTACCCCAGCCTTCCTAAAGGTCTAGAGCTAGCTACCAATGGGTCAGACAAGTACCCCAGCTCTCCTAAAGGTCTAGAGCTAGCTACCAAGGGGTCAGACAAGTACCCCAGCCTTCCTAAAGGTCTAGAGCTAGCTACCCAGGAGGTGCAGAACCCAAGGACACGGCCTTACAGGAGGAGGGCACCTGCCCCGGGGTCAGCAGGAGTGGACGGTGGATGGGGGTGGGCACGCTGCTCTACCATAGTGGCTGGAGAGCATCAGTGCCAGCCAGGCCTGAGGAACAGTGCTCTCTGCATCCCTGGATAGAGCGCACCAACGACCCGGCGGCGGCGGCCTGCCCAGGCCTCCCCACTCACCGCTGTCCTTCCCCTTGACGAAAGCCTCCCACTCTCGGAACCAGTGCATGCTGATGCAGTAGATGACTCCGGGAGACTCCTCAGCTTGGAACGCCTTGTTCAGCTGTGGGAGAAGGCAGGCAGGAGGTCAGTCTGGTCCCTGTTCCTCATGACTTCCCAAAGCCCCACCTCAGCCCCTGACCCTCACAAACACTGGATGCCTCTGGCAGAAAATCAATGACTCCTTGACATGTTCAAGAAAAGAGAAAATTCGAAGGGCTGGAGAGACAGCTCAGGGGTTAAGAGCACTACTCACTGCTCTTGCAGAGGTCCTGAGTTCAATTCCCAGCACCCACATGGTGGCTCACAGCCATCCATAACTCCAATTCCAATGTTCTTCTCGGACCTCTGAGGGCACCAGGCATGCACATGGTGCTCATACATATATATGCAGGCAAAACATTCAAACACATAAAATAAACCTTAAACAAGAAAGGCCAGTTTCCATACTGACCAGCTAGGTCACAAAAGATAATGCCTATATGTAGCACTTTCCCAAAGGACAAGCACACAGAAGATGCTATTTTCTCCACTCACTAGACGTAGCATCAGCTCACGCGGTTCACTGTTCCAACAGCTCTAACGCTGGTGCTGGAGAGGATGCCAGGGCCTCACAGGTGCCGAGCCACACCTAGAGGCCCTCACTGGCACTTCTCCGTGGCTACGAGGAGAGGCCTCAAATACTTCTACCCACCATGTTAAATGCTCGAGGTCTCATACTACGCCCTGTTGTAGGCACCATGAGGAGGGAGCGGCCCACCCACAGCAGTCCTCAGCTAGGAGTGCTCCATCCCCCAGGGACAGCGGTGCTCCTGTGGGGCACAGGATGGTAACCACAGTCAAGAGGCACTCAGCCTGGACCACTGAGACAGGCGCAAGTAGAGCAGGCTAGCCTCTCACTGACGCCAGAGGCTCTTCTCTCCATTCCCTACCCTCTACTCTCTGCAGAGCACTGCCTTGGGTCCCCAGGTCCCAACTCCCCAAATGCACCTTGATGAAAGTGTCAATCTCCACCCTCCTGCGCTTGGCCAGGGCCTCGATCTCCACCTGGCAGATGGAGCACACGAACAGATGATTCACAGCAGGGCCGCCCCCAAACCTGCTCGGGAAAGGAGAAAGAGCCAGCATGAAGCAGGGGCGGTGCCCCCGCCCCGTGCCCTCAGCCATCTCTAGCACACTCAGCACAAGGGCTGTCAGGGGTCCTCTGTGCCTGCTTCTCTGTAAAAGGTGCCTAGAGCTCTGCTTCCTCCAGGCTGGCCACCGAGCTGTGTGGCCTCAGTGCAGTGAGGCTGTAGCGGGAGATAGTGGCCCTGGCCTGGGGCCTTCCAGGATCAAGGGCTGTTCCCCACCACCCACTGGTAGCTGGCTGGAGGGCCCCTCCTTCCCAGGGGCAGACCCCACATACCCAGCTCTACAGGGGCCTGGGACTGGGCTAGGCTGCCATGGGAGGACTGCCTGCTCTTGGGGTCACTGCACTTAACCCTAGAAGTCCCCAGTCCTGGCCCCACTCCAGAGAGCCTGTGCTGAGTGGAGGTCAGAGGCCTAAGACTACCCCCACCTCAGCCCTGCAGGCAAGAGCCAAGGGCTTTCTTTCCATGGCAGGGCCGACAGGCTGGCTGGATTCCCAGCAGCCACTGTGTCACCTTGGCTGGAACTGTACTGCCCAGGAAGTGGGACAGTGGGGTCAGTCACCACTCCGGCCAGCTCCCAGGACTCACCTGACATACAGGTGCTCCCAGACGCTCTGTGGCAGGATGACCACCAGGTCATCGATGTAGTGGTATTTGTTGGGTGGGATTCCTGTGAAGGGAGGCACAGGGAGGGAGAGCTGGGGCTTGGGCCCAGCCGGGCACCCCCACCACACCACCTCTCCCAGGGGAGACCTCACCTCCGTGCGAGCACAGGAAGGTGTGGTTGGTGATGGGCCCTGGCTCTGCAAAGGTGTTGAACTTGTTCAGCCATTCTCGAGACACATAGAACCGCAGCAGGCTGGGCTCCCGCATGGCAGCCAGGGACACCACCTGCTGCCGCTCGCGCATGGCCTCCTCGCTGCTCTTCCTGAGAATGGCGAGGGGCGGGGGATGAGCCGATAGGCCTGGGTCCAGGTTGTGCATAGACACCAAGCCATGCCAAGCCATGCCAAGCCATGCCAAGTGCGCATGCTGGGGTGTGGCCTGACCCTCTCACAGGGCCACCACAGGAAAGCTCAGGAAAGCAGGCTTCCAGAAACTGCAGATACAGACAGACACACTGAGTGGGGTTCCCCACAGACACACCTGTAGAAGAGCACGTAGGCCTCCACATTCTGCACCACCGTCTCATGGACCTCGGTGACATACTGATCATCGAATTCATACCACTGCCCATTGATCACATTCTGACAATAGGCAATGTAGTGCCCGCCTGGCAGACAAGAACAGGTTATGGAGACCCAGGGCACGGACAGTGGAGGAGGGCTGGTTGGAGTGTGGGGCATATACTCACTGCCTGCTGTGCCATGGTGACAAATGACAGAGAGGAGGTCATACGTGGTGACCTGAGACGTGCATTCCTTGGCCAGAAAAGGGCGTAGGTCGAGTCCCTCGAGGGGGAAGGAGACATGGCTGCTGACTTTGAAGGAGTACATTACCTCATGCCGGAAGCGCTTCAGGTGGACGCACAGAATCTGAGGGGAGAGGGCAGGCGCCAGTCACCCTGGCCATCTAGGGGAGATGACAGGGAAGCTCACAGACAGGACTACCACACAGGCCTAGGCCTGTTGGATTTGCTTAGAATCCACCACACGTCAGAGACCCCCACGGGGGAGCTAACAGCCCCATTTTCCCTCACGAGGACTGGCGGCCTATGGTGTGGCCGTCAGAGAGGCGAGCTGAGCTGGTCCCTTAGGAAGCTGACTCTGCCCCAGCTTGCCATGTTTACTTTCCAAGAATTTTGACACTGGTTTGGGGACTTTGAGGAGCCTCCTCAGGACACCATCCAGCCGCAGCCTGAGCCTTGTCTCTGTTCCAACTACAGAGACTGTGCCAACCCCAGCGACGCTGCTCACCTGGGGACCCCCAATCCCCCAGGAGAAGAGGGGTCCAGAGGACACCTGTTACGATGGACCCTGTCAGCACTCCCTGGGTGTCTCACCCCAAGGACTGCACAAGCTTCATGGCCCTTCTGTGTTTGTGAGGGACAGGCCAGTCCTCACACGGCCTCACAGGCCAGCAAACGTCCTGTCCACACGGGCCCCAGCCTAACAGCCAAGGTGGCTGACTCACCTCAGGCAGACACAGGACTTTACAGTACTTCACACCATTCCGAAGCCTGCAGAGGAGGACACAGAGCCACGGTCAGTGTCCTGTAGGGAAGGAGTCAGTAGAGGGACCAGGGTACGGTCCCCTCCAGACCCTTGCCATCTGGGAGGTTAGCACAGGGCTACCCGAGGGAACCCCTGGGTAAGTGTAAGCAGGAGGACTCTGGGGACAGGGAGCTGGGGACAGGCCCCGGGGCACAACTTACTTCTTACACCGCTCACAGCTGTACATGTTGTCACCTAGTGCAGAGGAGCAAAGGTCAGAGGTCAGCAGGGACAGGAAATGGGGACAGAGAGGGCAAATAAGAATTATGTTTAGGGGGAAATGGCAGGAAGTAACGGGATTCCAGAGACAGAACAAGAAGAGACAAAGATTCAACACTACACACTGCTTACAAAAGGAACGTGGTTCCTCCCTGGGACTTACGTGGTGAAAGCAGAGAGCTAACTCAAGCTGTCCTCTGACTTCCACAAATGCAATGTGACATGTGAACACACGCAGAACTATACAAATATTCTTCAAAAGGTAAAACTCCATCAGGTGGTAACAGTACACACCTTTAATCCCAGCACTCAGGAGGCAGAGGCAGGTGGATCTCTGTGAGTTCGAGGCCAGCCTGGGCTACCAAGTGAGTGCCAGGACAGCCAAGACTACACAGAGAAACCCTATCCCAACAATTAATTAATTAAACTAAAAAATTAAAAATTAATTTTTTTTAAACTTCGAAAATGGATCAAAAATCTAAGAAAATGTAGATGTTTAGATTATAACATTCCAGGTATGTGGTCTGTGCAGCCCTGGTGACTGAGCCCAGGGCCTGGTGGACTGGACAAGCTCTACCACCTGAGCCATACCCGCAGCTGCTTCAAATTCTGTCCCTGAGAAGGGTGCACAGAAAGACCTCCTAAAACTCAACAACCAAGTGACCTGCTATGGGAGCAGACAGAGACTAACATGCATGTGTATGCACCTGCATCGTGGCTGCACAGCTGAGCACTCGCCTGTGTGCGCATGTGCAGGGGCGAGCGTTCACTATCGGGTCATCTTCCTCTATTGCTCTCTACCTTGTCTGTTGAGACAGGGTCTCCCACCACACCCCTGGAGTTCATCAGTTCATCTAGACTGGCTGGTCAGTGAGGCCTGGGGTCCTCCCAACTCTGTCCACCCCGATTATGGGGTTATAGACACACACCACCATCCCTGGCTGCTGGGGAGCTGAACTCAGCAAACACTACTCACTCAACCGTCTCCCTCCCCACTAACAAACAGGAGGTTTTTAAAATAGATTATTGATTTATTTTCTGGGTACGGGTATTATGCCATGCATGTCTACGCATCATGTGTGCAGTGCCCAAGAGATCAGAAGAGGGCATTGGTTACCCTGAAACTGGTCACTCGAGTTGGTTGTGAGCTGCCATGTGGTGTGGGGAACGAAATACCAACTGCTCGGACCTGTGGGCCGTCTCACAGCCCCCTTAGCTCCCCACAGAAATATATTTAAGGTGCTCAGCATCATTCATCATCAGAGGATACAGATCAAAACCACAGTGGCACCACTGCATGCCCAGGAAGCTTGCAACTGCTCCGGAAAAAAAAAAAAAAAAAACAGCAATGAGCTGGAACCTGGGGAAACACGAACCGCGTGGAACTCTTCCATGACTGGGGTGTAAACTGCCGTTCCCACAGATCTAGCAGGAGTGCTCCCAAGCGCACACAGACAGCGTTATGTTCATGTTACGTCAGATCATGGATGTCCGCGGTAGTGACATCACAGCAGCTGATAGAGCCACAGAGGCGGGGTCCATCCAGAGACAGATAATTCTGAACCTTGTTTCCACAAGGGGGAACAGGTCTGACATCGGGGAGGAGTCAGTCTCACCCATTCAGAAGGAAGAAGGGCTGGGGTAGGAGTCAGTCTCACCCATTCAGAAGGAAGAAGGGCTGGGTGGGGCTCAGTGGTCAAGCACAAGCCTAGCCAATGCAAGGCTCTGAATTCAATCCCCAGCCCCACAAAAAGGACACTGTGGGGCTGCCACACAACCAAGTAGAGTGGTGGCTATCAGGGACGGGAGGGGGGCAGGAGCCGTTTAGTGGCACCATTTTGGTTTGGCAGGATGAAAATATTCTGGAAATGGAGGTGGCGGCTGCACAGTGATGTTAATATACACAACACTACTGAACTGTACATCTGAAGTCAAAAACCAATTAAAATAGTTATGGTAGCAAAATTGGCATCATTTGTATTTTACAATTGGAAAAGAAAGCAAAAAAAAACTTTTTTTTAAATCATGAACTCAGTGTTATGGATCAGCAGGTAAAATGCTTGCCATCAAGCCTGACAGCCTGAGTTCGATCCCAAGACCCACATGCTGCAAGGCCAGATTCAACGCCCAGCTGTCTTCTTGCTCCATACCAGGACAGTAGTGTGCACACATTAAGTAAATAGGTAAATATTTTAAATTACATTTAAGCATTCAAGTTGGACATTGGTGGTGACATCTACAATCTCAGCTGGAGAAGTGGAGGCTAGAGGAACAGTGGTTTAAGGCCAGCCTGGGCTACACAGTGAATCTGAGGCCAGCCTGGGCTGCACCAAGACCTTGTCTCAAAACAAAAACAAACCACTTCTTTAATAACCAAGGAAGCATAAGGCTAAAGTGGGGTATCCCTTCCACCCACTGACCTGTAGAAAATAACAACAGGTCAACAGCCAAGAGTCACAGGCAACAGTTTGGGAGGACAGGTGTCTAAGCCTTCCCTGGTGGGTAGCAGGTGAACATCTATCTCGTTTGTTTGGAACACTCTCATGTAGCCCAGGCTGGTCTTGAACTCACTATGTAGCCCAGGATGACCCCAAACCCTCATCTCTTGCCTCCACCCCTGGAGGGCTGGGGTCACAGGTGTGCACCCCCTGTAGGCTGGCAGTGGACTCTAGCAGGTCAGTTTGTAAAGCACAGTGGCCATGAGTCCACTAGCGCTGGGCTGTAGGCTAGCTGAGGCACAGCCATGATGGATGGGCTCTTTGCACCACCCCCAGCCCCACCCCCGCTCCCTGCAGTCCCATTCCGGCAGCAGACCACTCACCCTTCAGCTCATCAGCAGCAAAGAAAGCAGCCAGGCAGTCCTCCAGTGTGACGACAGGCCCCCAAAACCAGCTGGGGGTACAGGATACCACGAACCTGAACAGACAGGAAAGGGTGATGGGTGCTGTAGGGCCTGGGTATGGGGGTGTGGCTGAGGTCTGTTCGGGCCTGACTGGCAGCCTGACACAGCTGGAGACTGGGCCTTGAGCTGGACACTTTGTGTCCGTAGGCTATGCGGGGCCCAGCTTACATGCCCTTCCGTGAGGCCAGCTGCCTCAGGGATAAGGAAGCTGCCCGTGACTCTCGGTCACGCATGGGCCCAGATGCTGCCTCACTTTTACTTGTGGCTTGGCCACTCTCTGGGTTGTCACTTACCCTCCACCTTCAAGGAGCATGTAGTCAAGGCTATCCCAAAATGACCAAGACCCTGAACCCAGTTAACTGATCTGCATCTTTGGCCTCCAGCTCCCCCGATCCATGGACTCTCCCTGGCCCCAAGAATGCCTGTTCCTGCACTTCTGGTAGACCCAGGGCAGCAGGCCAGGCCGGAAGGCCCAGCTGGCAGGACGGGCGTACCGTCGGATGTACTCCACGATGAAGGCCAGCCAGCCCTGGGAGGAGTAGCTGTCCCCACAGGCTCCCGGCTTGGCTGGCACATTCTGGTAGATGGCAGAGTGGAGTTTGGCGAGGTCTTCCTTGCCAGGGATGGGCAATGACAGGTCCTGGAATGTCTCCACCGTGGTAGACACCTATGGGGTAAAGACCAGCCTGGTGCCCACCTCTGCCAGTGTCTGTTGCCCCAGCAGGTGAAGCAGACGGCTTGCTCCTGGGGTAGGAATGCCAAGGGGAAGTCCACCCTGCCCCAGGTAGGAAACAATGCCAGACTGGCCTGGACACCCACCCGGTCACAGGTGAGACACTGCACCAGGCTGAGGACAGAGCCATTGAAGACGTCTGAGATGACGCTGCGGTAACTCTGCTCCTTCCGCCTCCGGCCACCAGCACTGGGCACCTGGGCTGGGAACACAGCACAGGACTAGGCCAGCCTCCCCCGCATGGCAGGCACAGGCACAGACAAGAGGCACCTCAGCCACGCCGGGCAGCCCTCACTGTGGATCACAGGATTGGTCATATACGTCTCCCCTTGGCATCAGCACCACCGTTTATAAAATGGGGCTCCCTCTCCTATCCCAAGGCTGCAACAAAGGTTTAAAGGCTTTGTTTAAAGTGAGCAGCACACAGACTGGACCAAGGTTGTAAGTGCCCCAAACTGGCCACCATGCCATCCCCGGCTGAGTTCATCACTGCCCCCGAACCTTTCTTGAGCACGTACGACGGCCCCATCCTCACAGGGCTTGCACGAGGGGGGCTGCTGGACAGCTTGGCGTGGCCCTCATGGTGGTGGACGGGGCTGCAGGGGCGAGAGGAGCTGCGGATGTGGGCTTCGTTGTCTGGCTCTGGAGACGGACAGCAAGGAGGAAGTACTGGGCCAGGGCGGCCACGCCAGTGCCCTTCATGCCAGCTCTGGAGCCAGAGCAAGAGAACCTGCCAGCATCTCCTCCCACACCTTCCTCTGTGTCCATCCCCAACCCCATCAAATACACCGGGACATAGCAATCCAGTCTGTTTCCAACTAAGGCTCAAGACTAGGCAGGGCTGTGACTCTGAAAGCCCAGTGAACCTGGCACTGAGGCTGTTCTCAGCTTGTGCGCAGGGCCCAGGGACAGAATCTCCCCCACGCCATGGCTGCTGCACGCTAGCGCTAGGCAGGTAACAAACACAGGGCTCACAGGCGGTGACTTCCAGTGGCCCAACCAGTGACCAGGTTGACTGATACCTGGGGTCCGGCAGGGGCTGGTGGGCCTTGGTGATGGTGGCTGGGTCTCGATGGGTTGGTTGTCCAGGGAGGCCATGGCCGTGTCCACATCAGCATCCTCATCCACTTGCTCTGAGTTGGTGCGCTGCTGGCCCCAGGAGAACTTGCGGTCCTTCATGCGCTCCTTCTCAGAGATGGCTCGGCCCGCCTCATCTGGGATCAGCAGCTCCATCTCAGCCTTCGAGTTACCTCCACCACCACGCCCTTGCCCGTCACCCTCGCCCCTGTCACTGCTCGAGTCACAGGACAGAAACTCGTCCTCTGACGGGCTCCGGTCGCCATCGCGCCTCTCATCTGTGTCACTGGAATCTGAGTCCCGGGCGTCACTGAGTGCTGTCACAGCGGCTACAATGGGCTCCTTGAGCTCCTCATGAAGCTGGTCCATCAGGCAGCGTAGAAACTCCTGGGTGTCCTGCAACCAGGGCCATGTCACCAGGGCTTTCCAGGGATATTAGAACCACCATGGGCACTGCTGCTTCTGCCCACAAGGCCACCAGCCACCTCCAGCAGGTCCTAGTGGGCACCCATGTAGACAAGCAGCTTAGCCCCCATGGCATCTCCACCATAGTTCTGTGCTAACCCCCACCTCCAACCAGGGCTCAGAGAGACTATGGGACTCCTCCCAGGTCACACAGCACACAAGAGCCAGGGGACACAGAACCAGTTTCAACTGATTCTGCACGGACAGCCACACTCAGCCACTGACATCTCCTTGCTCCCTGAGCAGAGGTCAGCAGGGTGGCAGGGACCCGGGAAGGGTGAAAGTATAAGATGCTGCAAGCCAGACCTGTCAAGAATACTGCACTGAAGGGGCTGCAGAGATGGCTCAGAGGTTAAGAGCACTGACTGCTCTTCCAGAGGACCTGAGTTCATTCCCAGCAACCACATGGTGGCTCACAACCATCTGTAATGAGATCTGGCGCCCTCTTCTGGCCTGTAGTCATACATGTTGTATACATAATAAATAATAAATCTTTTAAAAAAAAAAAAAAAGAAAGAAAGAAAGAAAGAAAGAAAGAAAGAAAGAAAGAAAGAAAGAAAGAAAGAAAGAAAGAAAGAAAGCACTGAACAGCGCTACCAACAAGCCAGGCAGCCGAGCTGATCCCTTCTCCACGATTGCGTCTTCCTGCTTCCCCACACGGTGCCGCCATGTGTGTGACACTGGAGCAAGAAGAGGCCCTGGAAGCAGACGCCCACTCCCCTGGCTCACATAGGCGGAACAAAGACCAAGCTGCTTCCCCCAGAAGGATGGTGTCATTTTAGGATCCAGTACCTAACCCAGCCCTGCAGGAAGCCGGGAGGTGACCTGCAGGCAGAGCCACTCTAAGGTGGTGACGGCAGCTGACCTCAAGGGCTGAGAGCATCCAAAGACATGGGCTCCAAGGCCAGCAGCAGCCTGACGACCCCTGAGCTACTCCTGGACCACACGAGGGAAATAGCTCATAGGCATCCAGAAGCAACTGAAGTTCTACCTTGGATGGAAGTCCCCAGGAGAGGTCAGTGGGACCCACAACCGGCCTCTGTCCATCAGGAGGGCAGGAGTAAGAATGACCACCTATTGCTCCTTCCTTTTACAAGATTAGGGGGATGGCTCGCTCAATACAGTGCTTAATGTGCCAAGCATAAGACCTGAGTTCAAGCACCAGAATCCACATTAAAAACAAAAACAGATGTGGTGACATGCACTGGAGTCTCAGCACTGGGGGCGCAGAGACAGACAGATCCCCGGGCTAACTGGTCAGCCAGGCTCAACCAGTCATCAGTGAGCTCCATACCAGTAAGAGATGCTGTGTCAAAGCAGGTGGGTGGTGTTCACAAGGGTAGTCCCTGAGGTCACATTCCAACCTCTCTCCAAGTGCAGATGCATGTACACATACACGTATACACACACACACACACACACACACACACACACACACACACACACACACACACAATCTTTTTAAAAAGAAAAAAAAATTTAGATTTATTTGTTTATTATGTATACAGTGTTCTGCCTATATGTGTCCCTGCAGTCCAGAAGAGGGCACCAGGTCTCATTACAGATGGTTGTGAGCCACCATGTGGTTGCTGGGAATTGAACTCAGGACCTCTG